ATAATTTCTAATTTGAAATTAAAAAGCGTATAATATATTATACCTTAGAGAATAACTGAAATAAAAACTTAACGCCCATGACCAAAACAGCTCAGGTTCGAAATCGGAATTAGCAGCCATTGATTGCAGTTGAATTGCTATCTCGTATATGCTGCTGAATGCTCAATCACTAATGCATGATCTATTTACACGCTCTGTGAACTGCCTGATTTCTATCAGTAATCAATTCCTACGATAAAAGCCTCCGGCGACCGTCACCGCGAGTTCCACGAGACCCTTTACTTCTCAGTCTTATTATAATTCCAAAATTCTGCTGCCAATTGAAAAGCAGTTGGGAAGGCATATACCAATTCCAGAGAACCTATTAATGTGCCCGCGACGTAAAATCTGTGGTAAAATAAACAGGTAAGTTCCAGGCTACTGGTAATAAAGCAAAATAGGCGATTCGTGGCCGAGTAGTCGTGGCCGAGTGGTTAAGGCGATAGACTTGAAATCTGTTGGGATATCCCCGCGCAGGTTCAAATCCTGCCGACTACGACTCTTGTTATTCCAGAAGATGTTCATTAGCACGAGAAATTGCCACTAGGTGGAATTCCGTTTAAAAAAAAAACCAGTCAGAGTAGTAAAAATTTCCAATACCTGATGTGAAATGGTTAATATTATATCCTTTTAACACAAGTGGTAAAATTTATATGCATTCTGATTCGGTTACTAAAATTGTAAATAAACATACGGTGATTGGACTAAAGCGAAATTACCTCTTGTCAAAAGGACCTTTATTCAGAAATTATTGCTCCTTTATTAGGATCTCTATTCTAGGACCTTTATTCTAGGATCTCTCCTAGATACTGGGACCTTTATTCAGAAATTATAGGCTCGTTTTCAACAGCAAAATGGGATGTTTTCCGCAAGCACGAATTGACGGAAGTCTCTTAAACCTTAGTTTTTCATGTTATATACCGGAATTTTTTTAAATTACCGAAAGATAATGAACGGGTTGGATTCCCGTGCAAGCCCTGATTGCCCTCAAAACTTGAAATTTTTTCGGGATTGAGTTTCTTTCTTTAAAAAAAAAGGCAGTGTTGAACTCAAATTGGAATCTCCCGATAAAACTTTTCCCATGCAGTATCAATCCTCTCAATATACATGCAAGGAGGAGATCTAGTATGCATGAATGTAGACGTTGTAGACATGTCAGCAATGAAGACCTTATCAATCATCATATACAAGTACTGAACATCAAGAAAATGAATTCGTGCGACTTTTTTATGGTGCTTTTTTATGGTTTCGCAAACGTAAAATGAAACGGCCACGAAATTCCACTTGCATAACAACAGTCGTAGTCGGCAGGATTTGAATCTGCGCGGGAATATCCCAACAGATTTCGAGTCTGTCGCCTTAACCACTCGGCCACGACTACATAATTGCCTGTTGAACCGCAATGATAAAAAAGCACTATAAAACACAAATAAGTATTATGGAAATTGATTTCCAAAAGAACGAATCGTAAACATTGTTCACTATTGTTACAAAAATCCAATCACAAAACTCATTTATATTAGGTAGATACTTATTGAGTTTAAGTGGAAAATGTGAAGAGCCTCGTCAGAGATTCGAACTCCAGACCCCTCGTTTACTAGACCAGTGCTCTAACCACTGAGCTAATGAGGCACATGGAAAAACACTCGTGGTCACTGTTGATATGATGACATTAATGCAAATTCTTAGCCCACAATGCAACACAGTATTCTTATTAGGTTGATACTTAAATTAAGTTGAGAGAGTGCATCTAATGTTGGAACGGGAACACGTACCACTTTTTTTCACAACAAAATACAGCTTAGTCATTAACTAGACCATTGGCAAATTGTTGTTAAGACCGTTCTCTTTGAAGCTAGACGGGCAAACAGGCCATGGTTAATGGGCCCAGCACGCTTCCACTGCCACACCCTGCTTGCTACACACTGCTTCTATGCCATGGATATATACACAGATCTGTATTTTCTTTTAATTAGTTGTGCTTTTCCGAATAAGTTAAGAAAAGCGGGAAATGTTCTTACAGGTATCTAAGAAAATATCAGCGCATGCCGGTATGCACGATCGGGGAGTATAGTTTTTGAGTTCAGGCTTTTCTCCTACACTCCATTTAAGAAAAATTACCTTTCTGAACAAAAAATGACACCTAGAATGTGCACTCAAAAATATTTTATTGTTATTGGTTTCGATCCATTGACGTCTAGGTAATGGGCCCAGCACGCTTCCACTGCGCCACCCTGCTTGCTACACACTGCTTCTATGCCATGAATATAAAACTTGTGCTATTTCGAATAAGGTAAGAACGGCGGGAAATGTTCTTTCAGGTACCTAGGAGAATAGCATCAGACAGGTATGCACGATCAGGGAGTGTAGCTCAGTGGTAGAGCATTCGACTGCAGATCGAGAGGTCAGTGGTTCAACTCCGCTCGCTCCCTTCTCTTTTATCAATGAAAAAAAAATCCAACATTTTTATCTTACTAATTAGTGAATTAAAAAACCCAATTTATTTTCGTTGTAACAATTCGTTTGCTTGATAAATAATCCTTGCAGTTTAGTTTTTTTTCAATGACTCTCTGGGACACATGCATGTTCTATAAATTTGTAAAACGGAAGTCCTTACCTGGAATACAGGGAATATAATTACTTTATCTTAATAATGTGCGTGTATAGATATACTGTAGAGCCAGGAATTTCTCAGTAATTTTTCTAGGTGTTTATGTCCTGTGGTGTAATGGTTAGCCCTACGGACTCTGAATACGATTAAATAATTGCCATAGTTAATAGCTATAGTTGCATATAATTTACAAAAGTATGACAACAAGAGCCTCATCAGAGAGTTGAACTCTGGACCCCTGGGGCCGGTTGTTCGAAATGTGGATAAGTCGCTATCCAACGGATAAGTCGCTATCCAACGAATAAGTTTTATCCAGCGTGTGATTTGCGTCGCACGAAGCTTGGATAACTTTATCCAGCGGATAAAAATCGCTATCTACCGGATAAATTTATCCAAGGTTCGGAGGTGGTTTAAATCCACTATCCAGTGGATAAATTCAAAGATACAAGGTAACACTGTAAACATTTATATAAAATAGGACAAAAATGCCATATTCCTGTTACTGTGTTTCAACAAACTAATACACATCATGATTGTATTCACTATTAAAAATGTTTTCGAAGTGCAATTTGTCGCAGCAGCGTTTCACGTTGCCTACACATTTCGTTCCGAGCGGCGATTTTTTGGAGATCCTCGCATTTATAACAGGCGGTAAATTTACTATACGCTTCTAATCAGTTTATAAACGCGAATATGCAAAGAAAGATTCAACCTATTCCAAGGAAACTTGCTAATATCTAAGTAATTTCATTCACGAACATTAAAATAGTGTTCCTAAATTTGCTATGGAACCGAAAGGCAAAGCATTGCATGCAAGGTCAAGGAATAAAATTGCAATGTGTTTGATTAATAAAATCACTATGATGTGAAGTGCAAAGTTCGAGCAAATCACTTGTTCAAGTCTTTTCCATTCAGTAACTATACTCGAGAATTCGTAATGATTATGAATTCAATGTTGTAAATGCTTAGCAACAGCTGACGTTGTGGTACGAAATTTCAGGATAATCCTGTTTTCTTCCGGTAGATTTACCTTATCTATTGGATAGCTATCCACTTCACTATCCACGCTTCGTGCAACGCGTTTTTATCCAATGGATAACTATCCACTGGATAGCAGATTTATCCGTTGGATAGGACTTATCTGTTGGATAAGTTATCCATCTTTCGAACAACCGGCCCCTGGTTTACAAGACCAGTGCTCTAACCACTGAGCTAATGAAGCGCACGTACAAGCTAACGCGAATATTGTTGCTTATCTTATAATGTGCACGCATCAAATTATGCTTTACAGGGTGTATAAAAAAAAGGTAATCCAACTTTGGCGCGCTATTGTACGTGAACTATTCATTCCAGCAAATGAATTTTTTTCACATTCGGAAAGGTTAGGCTTTTAGTTAACTATCGAATGACATGTTTTTAATACCAAATGATGAAAAAATGAGAAAATAGGAGGCTGATAAAAAGTGTTAGTCAAAATCGCATATTCTCACCTCTGAGAGTTGGGACTAAAACCATTGAAAATTAACTCCCTTTAGGACTTAATTAAAGAATTTTGCTTCCGAATAAACTACCCGCCAATGCATGGTAAGTAGGAATAAATCACATCAGGAGAACATTCCAAGCAATTAATGTGCCGGCGATGTTAACTTTTTATCGATAGAGATGGTGGTCAAGTTGAAGGCATGACGCATAATCTCTTTTTAAAAGTGTGAATGTAAATAATCGCAATAAACATGTTGTAAAACCAGTGCAAGCTGTAACATGTTCGTGATTAATTGTTTCTGTTCTTTTGTTATGCCCTGCTTTGATTAGATTCAAAGGTGAAAATATGCAATTGTGACTAAAGTTTTTTATCAGCCTCGTATGTTCTCACTTTTCACCATTTGCTATTAAAAGCCTATCTTTCGATAGATAGAAGCAAGAGGAGGTTGGACAAGCGATTAGAAAGTTGTCACGTGAGCTCTCAACTAACGAGATCACCCTATTTTCGCCCTATCTTCCGGTGGGCGACAAAAAATACCCTTAGGCATATTGTCTCGTTCTCCTCCACGGCAACCTTTAGTAAAAGGCGAAAGATTTTTTCGTAGGAGAACCAAGGTTTGGAAACTTCGGTGCTTGTCAGTGCTGTATAAACGAAATAGTTTCACTTTTGGAACACGGTAGTCACGGAAGTGCGCGCGCAATGTTATCAATTGTGACGAATATAATTGTTTTTATAATTAGCAGTTGCTGAATCAATTGTGGGGTGTCGTTTGATATTTTGACGTGATCAATAGCCTTCTGCAAGGAAAAAGAGCATTGGGAATCCTGATTACGCCAGCTGTTGATCTCGTACACTTTTGATAAACACCCGCCAAAAAAATCCCGGCGCAGACAAAAATACTCTAAGGCCCATGGTGGTTTTCTACTCCACGGAAATCTTTAGTAAAAGGCGAAATATTTTTTCGTGTAAATGAAAGAGAACCAAGGCTTGGAAACTTCGGTGCTTGTTAGTGCTGTATAAACGAATTAATTTCACTTTTGGAACACGGTAGTCACATAAGTGCGCGCGCAATGTTATCAATTGTGACGAATATAATTGTTTTTATAATTAGCAGTTGCTCAAACAATTGTGCTATTTTGGTTTGATATAATATGGCGTGATCAATAGCCCTCTGCCAGGAAAAGGAGAATTGGGAATCCTGATTACGCCAGCTGTTGATCTCGTACACTTTTGATAAACACCCGCCTGAAAAATCCGGCGGGCGACAAAAAATACCCTTTGGCCCAATGTGTTGTTCTCCTCCACGGAAATCTTTAGTAAAAGGCGAAAGATTTTTTCGTATAAATGAAAAAGAACCAAGGCTTGGAAACTTCGGTGCTTGTCAGTGCTGTATAAACGAAATAGTTCGCTTTTGGGACGCGGTAATCACGGAAGTGCGCGTGCAATATGTCATCAATTGTGACGAATATAATTGTTTTACTTGCCAGGCGAATTCTTGCCAACAGAAGAACCAAATATTTCAATTTTTTGTTAATAGATTATCCGAAGTACCTTTTCTTCTGCTGTTTTTGCTTTTGAAAGCTGTCCAGATCGTGCATACCTGTGTGATCAATGTAATCATATGAACAGTGTCCACACTTGTTTTTTACACGTGCCTCATTAGCTCAGTTTAGAGCTCTGGGGCCGGTTGTATCAAGCCCGTTTAGCTTTAACGGTGGATAAGTCAAAATTAAATCTCTTAATTAAACACCCCTACATCTCTCTTGAATGAGTCAACTTGAATATTATGCACCAAATATTTGGTTGTAAACAGTATACATTTAGTTTGCTTGTTGAATGAAACGATTGACCTTCTTTCTATTTTGAACTTAACCAACGTTTAAGCTAAACGAGCTTGATACAACCGGCCCCTGGTCTCGTAAACCAGGGGTCCGGAGTTCGAATCTCTGACGAGCTCTTCACATTTTCCACTTAAACTCAATAATATGAACGACTTTTGTGATTGACTTTTTGTAACAATAGTGAACTGCAATATTTATGATTCGTTCTTTCAGAAATCAATTCCTATAATACTTGCTTGTGTTTTATTGTGTTTTTTTTTATCATTGCCAATTAACTGGCAATTATGTAGTCGTGGCTGAGTGGTTAAGGCGACAGGCTCGAAATCAGTTGGATATTCCCGCGCAGGTTCAAATCCTGCCGACTACGAGTCTTGTTATCTCGAAAATTTTCATAACACGGAAAAATTTTTTGCCAGCGGGTGGAATTTCGTCTTATACTATACGATATATTTTTGGCATTTTTTAGGGAAAGACAATCAGAGTAGTCAAAATTTTTAAAACTTGGTGTAAAATGGTAAATACTGTACCCTTTTAACCGAAGTAGTCAAATTTACGCATTCTGATTCGGTTACTAAAAATGTAAACAAACATGCTGTTTGGTCTAGAGCGAAATTGCCTCTTCTTATAAGGAACTCTATCCAGAAATTATTTCTCCTGTATATGCTCACTTTTAAGAGTATAATATTAGGCTGTTTGCCGCACGAGTCAACGGAACTTTAATTTTTCATTTACCGTTATGCCGGAATTTTTGATAAATTACCGTAAACTACTGCACTTTTTTCGCCGTGGGTGCAGGACACGGATTCGATTCCCGTGCAAGCCCTGATTGCCCTCCCAACTTGAAATTTTTTCTTCAAGACAAAAAGCAGTGTTGATCTCCCCATAAAACTTTGATCCCATGCAGTGTCAATCCCATATAGAAAAATACAACGAGGGGATATTCTATGCATGCACAAATGTATTCATAGTAAAGAAATGTCATCCATGAAGACGTTGTCATTCATATTACAAGAACTGAACATCGGAAAATATGCAGAATTAACGTGGAAGGGATAACTATTTTTTGACGATGATTCGGTTTTACAATTGCAAAAGCGTCATGTGTATGCCTTATTGTCTGAATGGTTACGGCACTGGTATCGTAAACCAGAGGTCCGGTGTTCAACTCTCTGATAAGATTTCCCCCGTTCTTACCTTATTCGAAATAGCGCCAATGGAAAGAAAATATCTATCAGCGTATATATTCATAGCACCAGGGCAGTGTGTAGCACGCAGGGTATAAATATATAAATATTATTTTTAAAAATGATACGAAAAACTTTTAATGCGAAGCAACGGTTTTCTGAAGATTGACTTGAGATCCAAAGATCTAATCCCCCAGTTGCTGCCTTTCCTTACATCTTTTCGAGCAATCGGTAAACGATAGATCACTCTTTACGAAATTAAAAATATAATTTCTGAGTTTCATTAGTGTAGCATGGGACCTAATTTATGGGTGTAATTTGAAAATATGTTTCTTACAGCGGAGTAACATGATGGTCGAAATTGACGCATTACGTGGCGTTGCGCTAGTGGTTCAGTGGTAGAATTCTCGCTTGCCACGCGGGAGACCGGGGTTCGATTCTCCGCTAGCGCAAAAAATTCCCCTCGGATGCATTGTCCTGATCAATAACACCCATCATGTGGTTTAGTTTTCACACTTTTTGTGGGGTACCAAAATTATCAGAATAAAAGGGTAATTTTGAAAAAAACGACACTGTTACACAAGGCATAGCAAGTTCCCATGTGGTCTAGTGGCTAGGATCTGGCGTTTTCACCGCCATTGCCCGGGTTCGATTCCCGGCGTGGGAAATCCGTTTTCATAATTATCCGGCAAAAAGAGCCGTTTACGGCAATAAATTTAACACCTGAATGAATATTATTGCAGGACACGAACACTGACAAGAATATGAAGAATCGCAGTTCATCGAATTTGTTAAAAAGGAAATTGATATTTTGAACGAATAAAGTTGAGTTGCGTTTTCGAGAATTTAATGTGTTTTTAATTGATTACATATGGAAAAAATATGGAGGATGCGGACATCGATCCCGCTACCTCGCGCATGCAAAGCGCGCGCTCTCTTATTTGATCTAATCCCTCACAGCCGCCCTAACGCATTGAAATCCATTTTTACAATGACACATATCTTTTTTGTTTTTTTTTACTTTGGATTTCCCAAACAAACTATTTGTTAAAACCGCAAAATGAAAGCGATACGATAGGCATGGCAAGTTCTCATGTGATCTAGTGGCTAGGATCTGGCGTTTTCACCGCCATGGCCCGGGTTCGATTCCCGGCGTGGAAAATCCGTTTTCATAATTACCCGGCAAAAAGAGCCGTTTACGGCAATACATTTAACACCTTAATGAGTATTATTGCAGGACACGAACACTGACAAGGATAGGAAGAGTCGCGTTTCATCGAGTTTGTTAAAAAGGAAATTGATATTTTAAACGAATAAAGTTCAGTAGCGTTTTCGAGAACCTAATGTGTTTTTAATTGATTATATATGGAAAAAATATGGAGGATGCGAGCATCGATCCCGCTACCTCGCGCATGCCATGTGCGCGCTCTTGCATTTGAGCTAATCCCCCACAGCAGCCGTGGGGGATTTCAAAATATTGAAATCCAGTGTTACAATAACACATATCTTTTTGGGGGTTTTTAACATTTAATTATCCAAACAAACTATTTGCCAAAACTGCAAAATAAAAGCTTTAATTTCAACATTTTGCAGACATACTAAGCTAACCGGAAAAATAATTTTATTTCATTTTAGTTCATTCTCCATTGCCAGTATATCAATTTGACATAGGCAGTAAAATATTTTTCAAAATATTTTCCATGCAACTATCCTTCGAACCGGATTTAAACCAGCCACGTAGAGATGTTTGCTTGCTTATCTTCTACCTTACGCTCTGCCAACTGAGCTATCGAAGTCTGATAACGGCCAGCTTCATTATTGATCAAAAAGTATTTGTCATAATTATAATTGTTAATTCTATTAATTAGAATTTTGATAATGTTATTAAAAACTTAGGTATATAAATTATATCGTTTTTAAAAATATTACGAATGCAGAGTAACGGTTTTCTGAAGAATGATTTGAGATCCAAAGCGTAATATTTTGGAGGATGCGGGCGTCGATCCCGCAACCTCGCGTATGCTATGCAGGGAATATAATTACTTTATCTTAAAAATGTGCGTGCATAGATATACTGTAGAGCCAGAAGATTCTCAGTACTTTTTCTAGGTGTTTATGTCCTATGGTGTAATGGTTTATTACTTCGGGCTCTGAGTAGGATAAATTATATAGTTGCTATAGTTACCTATATACTTTTGTAAATACAAAAGTATGCAAAAGCCTCATCAAAGAACTGAACTTTGGACCCCTTGGTATACAAGACCAGTGCTCTAACCACTGAGCTAATGAGGCGTATGTCCAAGCTAACACGAATATAATTATATGAATACTTTATCTTAATAATGTGCATGTATAGCAAACTACATGAATATAGTATATGACAGGTATGCTGCATGGAACGCTCAGAGAGAGTAGCATATAGTGGTAGAGCATCAAACTGCAGGTTGACAGGTCACTGGGGTCAGTGGTTCAACTCCGCTCGCTCCTTCCTGTTCTATAAATTAAAGAAAAGTTAAATATTTTTATGGTACCCAATCGTGCATGAAAAATCCCAATTTATTTTCGTGGGAAAAAGCCGTACGTTTTATAAACAATCCATGCAGTTTAGGTTTTTTGAATGACTCTCTGGGACACATGCATGTTCTATATTATATTTACAAACCAGGGCTCCATACCTGGAATAGGGGGAATATATGGAAATACTTCATCTTAATAATGTGCGACTGTGCGTGTATAGACTATACATCACAGCACGGGTCAGATGTATATGATGAGTCGTCAAAAGATTGCAGAATACGAAAAGATCTTTTCGTATTCTGCTAAGATTTCGAAAAGATCTTTTTTATTGAAATGATAACTTTAGCAGGAAATGGTTTCGATCCATTGACCTCTGGGTTATGGGCCCAGCACGCTTCCACTGCGCCACCCTGCTTGCTACACACTGCTTCTATGCTATTAATATAA